TCCCTCATTCCGTTAACCCTTGGTCATCACACTGGCTGAAATAGGCTTGCGCGCTTCCATCTTTCAAAGTCGCCACGAAAAGCAACCCGGAATCGCTATTGTCGTGGTCGTGGTCATGGTCGTAGTTGTGGTCGTGGTCGTCCAGCAGTGACGCGATGGTATTGCTCATAGCCTCGAGTATCCGCAGCAAGAGAATGTTTGCGTTTTGTCATAAAATTGACCTGACAATTCACCTAAAAATATGGAGATGTGGGCCTCGATGCCGACGTGGGGGCTGTATGTCACGTGGGTTCTCGAGGTTTTGTTTTCTACTGTGTGATGCGTGAGCCTGGCCTGGCATCATCACGCGGGTTGACGGCTTCGTCAGTCAGTGATCTCGATTGAAACGCCACGCTGAGCGCCAGAGGCTGGGACGAAATCCTTCGACACAGCAGTGCGCTTCTGTCGGCCAAGGTAACGTGAGCCAGCAATGGAAGTCTTCCAGAACATGGCACCTCTGACCAACAGCTAAATGGTAGGGCAACCTATTAGAGATTTAGTTCCTGAGGGACTCCGTGCATGCCAGACCAGGGCGCGTCTGCCAATGAGCGCGCCAACTTTATCCACTGAGACACAATGTGTTACTTTCTTTGCGAGGGGAGGGGGCGGGGGCGAAAAAGAAACGCTCTTATCATACGCACATAGGCCGAGCCTCAGGCTTCGTGAGCTGTTTCTGACGTGGCGGAATGACAAAGACATCCGACTGGCGCATGCCAGAACCAGGTCAACGGACAGGCAGTACGGGCTTTCAATTGACAATCACTCCAGTAATTACGCTCCAATGCTTCCTTCCTTGACGATGAACACAGCGCTGCCGCTTCCTGGCCGGCTGACCACCGTAGCCTCGGCCGTTTGCTCCGCTGTCAGCTCCCGCTTCGAGTAGTACTCACGGTCCCATGCTGTCTGTACTGCCTCGACCTTGTCAGCAGGGACGAGATGCACACTGCATCCACCCCATCCAGCTCCAGTGATGCGACTTCCATATGAACCAGCCTCGCGTGCGATCCTGCAAATATCGTCAACCTCAGGCCAGCTGTTCTCGTACGCTGTCTGGCAAGACGCGTGCGTTTCGTTGAGCAGGGCACCGAGCTTGGTGTTGAGCTCCGTCGTGTCAGCGCCTGTCGACGGCGCGGCGGACTCAATCAGTGACATGAACTCAAGCGTGCGTAGAGCTTCGGCGAAGACATGCAACGCGCGCTGACGAAGCTTGAACCGGTCGGCTCGGATGGGGATCTTAGAAGTGTAACGCGCCTCCAATTCGGCAACTGTGATGCCGAGCGTCGAAGCCACTTCCTCACGTGTGTAACCATCCTCTTGCGAAAGTGCTGACTTTGTCAACCGGATGAGCTCCACGAGCTGAGCTTCTGGAGTATCGAAATGGCTCCCAGTCGCGACCGAGTACTCGCTATTGGCAGCACGCTGGTGGTGGAAGTAGGTCTCATGGAAGCCGTGCAGTGAGGTGCCCAAGGGTCCGGCGTCGGCGGGCAACTGCGTTCCGGGCGGGTTAAGCACGGCGTTGAGATAGGCAGCAGCCAGCGTTACCTCGACGACACGGAGGTTGTAGTGAATTGGCCCTGTGACATACTTGTTTGAAGTCACAAAAGACTGGGCGATGAGGAAGACAAGCTCGGGGTTGGTTGGAGGGAAGAAGACGGGGCGAGCCGTCAGCTTGGGGGCAAAGGAGACGAATAGAGCGGCATCACGCTCCGAAAAGACAGAAGCCGACTGGTCCATGCCTCCCGAGTTGACGCCAACCGCACGCTCGCTGACAATGGCAAGCTCCGTAAGCTCCGTCTTGTCGACAGCTTCCTCGCCATTGGCGACCACGACAGCGAGCGCCGACGCAGAGACAAAGGCCGCACTCGAGCTGAGGCCTCCACCAGCGGGCACATTGCCGTCCATCAGGATCTTCATTCTCTTGGGGCGGAAGTCGGGTCCCCGTTTCTTTCGAAGGAGTTCAAGAGCGCCACGGAGCCCGCTCTTGAAATAGTTGGTCCACTCGTGCTGGGTGGCATCAATTTCCACGTCGCCGTCGACTGCGACAGCAAACTCGCGGGTGGGGAATTTATCGGACTGGACATTAGCCACAGTCAGCTTGAAGGACGAAGAATTGGCGGGTGTCTCGTCGTAGGAGACAGCGATGATGGCGTCTGCCGTTATGGCCATGGGAAGGACGGAGTATAGGGAGTAGTCGAGGTGCTCGCCGATGATGTTCACGCGTCCAGGGGAGCGTGCGACAAAGGCTGCAGCCTCGCCAAACTGTTGCTCAAAGCGCGACAGCAGCGTTGTCCATCGCTTCGACTGTGATGACAAGGCATCGTCGGTATAGATATCCCTGAGGGAGCGCGCGATGGGGACGTTAGCAGACATGATGGTATTTGACGCTTGAGATTCGGGTTGTCAAAGATATCAAGGACAACGGCGCATGCGACAGCTTTTGCTACCCCGCAATGCCCCTCACTCTGCTTTGTAGGCTCTTGGCGATCTGGTATTCCACAAAGCTCACAGAATGAGCTGGCGAGGTTGAGCGGCACGACGATGGTAGAGGATGACGCAGGCAAAAAGATGGAACAAACGAAGCAGGAACGAAAGAAAAAAAATCCACGACCGGCTTGTTAACTTCTTCATCATAGCGGTTTGCCCACTAGCTCAGGGCAATTTACGCGATCGAGCCCCTCGTCCCCATTTCACCCCTCCACGTCCCCAAACCCCTCACCCACCATGTGCCCCGCGAGAAATACTGCGTTCGGGGAACTCGGCTCCGCTGAAACCCGCCGCCATCACAGTTTCCCCGCCTTTCGCACTTCAAAATGACAGCCAGGGTTTTCGGTTTTCGCGTATTTAGCGTCCGCCCGACATTGTGTGGCTTGATGTGTCG